CCCTCGGTGGGAGCGCTGCCGCGCTCCCAAGCGGCGCACTGTAGCAGTGCGCCACCAGGCCAGCCCTGCAAACTAAAATTTAAAAGTAATAATTTTCTCTTGAGATATTATGTTAGAGAGTACAACACATCATCACAATAGAGCAAAATTTTAATGCTGAATCTTAAAAAAATCAATAATCTAGCACTAGGCAAAGAACATGTAAAACTTTCTGACACAGCTGGATAGCAATTTTACATCACAAAATAAAAAGAAAATTAAGAATGCCATTTTGTTTGGTATATGAACTTTAAAAAGCAATTCTAATTAAATTAAAAAGAGATTTCAGTGTTATACTGTACTAGGGCCATTAATTAGCAAACTACAATTACATGAAAGCATTCAGACTAACCAAAGAAATACAAAAGGATGAGCATGGAATATGGAAAGAAAAGCATTATGTATTTTTCGTATTTATAAGTGATTCTTAAGACTTATCAATCATTATGCCAGATGTGATAGAAAAACATATGAGGTCAGACAACACAAAGGACAAGTGGCCTGTAAATCAGCCAGGCCGTGGAGGAGGGGTATCTTGAGGAAGTCCTCTTCTCCACATCACTCTGCTCAGATACTTCCCAATCTGAAAAACTCCCTGATTTTCTGGTTAAGGAGGAGCGAATAGGAGACTTTTTAACAGACAAAAACAGTTTAGAGGAAGCCCTTGGAATAAAGAAGGGCAGGAACGGAACGGGTGAATGGGACAGGCTAACCGAGAGCCTCTGCAACCATAAACCAGTGGCAAGTGAGGCCTGTGGAATTTCCTAATCTCCTTTAATCCTTTTATGACTGTAGTTACGCTGGAATGTAACATGTTTATTTTTCAATACTTGAATGTGAGGGCTTTGTTGGAAGTCCTGACAATTCCTTATGAAGGCTTCACAGTTTAAAATTCATCTAATACATTTGTATGCAGGGTAAAAAAGAAACAAGTTAATCACTGAGTTAGTGCGAGTTAAAACAAAATGTGTTAAAACAGAAATAGGAAATGTAAGAGTCTTCTCTAAAGCAGGAGTTCTCAGTTGCCCCCAGAAGTCACTGAAGTCTGTGTGGGCACTGCTGATACAATGATTTTGAAAGGAGGCACAAGGATTGATTTGGGGAATGAGGATTCAGAGAAGCAGGGTACTATGAAATGAGCAGGATATTACCACATAATGAAGAATTGTCCCGCTTTTTGTAATCATCTGAGCTAGGCTGTATTCAACATTGAAACACGAAGTTTTTTTCTTTTTGCTTAGTTTTAAGATCATTGATTTTTCCAAGAATGGAAAGATCATGTTAATCAAGGAAAGGCAGTGCTTGGTTCTTTTTGGAACTTTACAAGAACTGCTTACCATTTCAAAATATCACATCACCACAACAATACCATTCTCAATATTTGCGTCACCAATACAACACATGTCTAGTCAATATTTGTAGTTGCTATATTCACAGTGGTTTTATATATATGGCCTGCATCTAAATATCTAATTTGTTCTCTTCTAAAGTAGATGTACTTAGGCATTTATAGACTAAAACATATTTTACCATAAATCACTTTTCTTTTGTCTCAACTTACATTGTAGCACATACACAATTTATCTATTGTACATATAAACTATAATGTAAAGATAGATTAAATTACCTACACATTTTATTATTATTTTATTATTACCTACACATTTTATTTTACAGGCATCATAAATTTCTGTTATACAATGGGGATGCTGCACCTCCCAGAACTGAGAACCACTGCTCTGAGTCATGCATTTCACATTGTGTAGACCCTAGAAAGAACTCCTTATAAATACCCGTAAGTCAGGAATGAACACCAGAGCATATGATTTGGTGAACATGTGTCAGGAGAATATAGAAGGTGTGCAGAAACTGATAGCTGCCTCCCCAAAGCCCACTTGCCCCTCCTTGATAGCCAAACCCCTACAGTCAGAAACAGCAACACTCCAGCTACAGGGCTGCGTTTCTCAGCCTTCCTTTTATATATGAGTGGCCCATATACAGAAATAAAAAATGCTGAATGGGAATTCCAGGAAAGCTGCTTACGGGGCTGGTAAGTTGGCAGGTATGCTCATTTCCCCTCGCCCCTTCCTCCTCCCTGCTGCCAAGAACTTGGATAAGATGGCTTGAGCTTCAGTAGCTGTTGATAGCTCTGAGGCAATCATAATCTTTTAGCTCACCTGCTAAAAAAGGCTACATAGAAAGACAGAAGGATACAGAGATCCTCTTACTAACAGAGCTACCACACTAGCCCTGGAATGCCAGCCTTTAGACTTCTTTTACATAGGCAGAAACCCAATCTCTATCTTAAGCCATTGTTTTGGATCTTAAACCACCAATGCAAAATGACAAATGGGTTCCCAGCCCTCATCAAGTTTCCAAAAGGCAACGATGTGACACCATTAATATTCTTCTACTGAGAATGAAATAATCTGAGCAACAATATTGCAGTGAATCTTTCTTTCCTTGAGTGTCTTTGCAAGTGTCTAACAGACCTCGATAGCAGGTATCATGACTGGATTTAGAATGACAGACTTGCTCATAGTGGTGGAGAGGAGGTGGCGAGTGTCTGTTGAGTAAGCAAATACACAAATCTCTTCATAGAAAATAACCCATTAAGCAGAGCTCCACCTTTCAGGAATTCACAAGCAGGAATTAAAGTGTCTTTGTTAGTGCCACTACTGCTACTGTCATTTACTGGTAGCGACAGTGACAGCAGTAGTGGCAGTAAAGACCCTGGGTAAGAAAACACCTCCTGCACTCACTAAAACCAGACAGCGTGGAACTCCAAATGCACATTCATATATAGCATTTCTCCAATAAACCTTTTCAAAAATAATTCTATTTTATTTCAGTACAGCTTTTGCAGATGTGACAATCAAAAAACTATTATTTAAGTACATAAAGGATATCATATATACTTTGGTAACTTTAGTTACTAAAATAACTATATATTATATAACTTTTAATAACTTTAGCAAGATGTCTTGTTTGTAAGCACAGTAATACTATGTGAAAAAAATATGCTATAACTTTATGAAGACTACTGTTCTATTATATAGAAATAAAGATTTTAAATGGTACAGAATAACCAAAAGAAAATTAATATAAGAGATTGTAAAGTACATAGCAGCC